GTGTTGTCCAAACTTGGCCACTTTAAGATGTGTGGACTTCAACTCCCAGAATTCCCCAGCCGGTAAGGCTGGCTGGGGGATTCTGGGAGTTGAAGTCCACCCGTCTTAAAGTGGCCAAGGTTGAGGAACCCTGTTTTATGGCATAAACAAGCATACATCCCCACAGGGGAATGTCTGTAATGCATGTAAATAATTTTGGGGCACAATGTTCCAGTTGCCCTTTGCCATTGAAACACAGCAGGTTGCCTTCCGGCAAGTCTGATATTGTTAACATAATCAAGCTCCCCGAAAGTGAAACAGGTTCAGACTGGTTCATATGAGGATGGGAGACCACCAGGAAACCCTACCGCTTATATTATTAAGAGTGACAGGGTTCATACACATCACATTAACGTGTGGTTTAACCTTGGGTTGTTGAATAAGCCATAATGGCCAGTTTTGCTATGCTAAAGCCAAAGTTATAGTATACCACAGAGGATAGATGTGTATAATGATTAATCCATAGTGTTTAGTTTAATTACAGCTTAATGGAACTCATCCATTCACTCATTTGATTATTCCCCAGCTTTCCTCCTAGAGTTTAAGGCAGAATACTTAGCACTCATGCTGGCTGGGGAATTCTGGGAGTTGAAGTCCACTCAAAGTGGCCAAGTTTGGACAACACTGATCTAGCGGATATTCCCCTCTGATAGGAACAGCTGAACTTGTAACATCCAAGGTCGGATGCAGCAGTTCTATATCTGAGTGTGCTTATGGCAGTGTACTGCATCAAATGTTACCGATTTCTTGAAAATGCATTTGCACAACAGTATCTCACATCAACTTCCATGCTAATTTTACAGGAAGGAAGCCCAGCCCCCAAATGATTTCTTACCAACATTCATGCCCAAGTTGACGCGGAGGTCAACGTCTTCAGCCCAAGCGTCCAGGGCTGCCTCCTTGCACAGCACAGGGAAAATGCCACGGTAAAGGTGGGCCTGGCGGGCTGTCTGAGCATTACGGGTCACAGCAATGATGGGGGCACGTGGCCGGTATCTGGACACCAGGTGAGCAGATCTGGAAAAGATTTGGGAGGCTTCACCATCATCTTCATCACTGCTAGCTGACTTTAATACACACAATTTTGCTTTCAATTTCCAATTTTGCTTTAAAACAGGGAACACAAAGGATGGGGAAAAAAACCCCTGAGAGTCTGCAGTGCTGCCTTCAGAGGCCCTACTGGTGGGGCTGTCAGCCTGAGTTCCAGGAGGAGGTCATCCACACAGAAAGACAGCAGGAAGCTCTGCCATCAACTGAAGGGTTTTTTGTGCTTGATTTCTCGATGGCCCGAAGGGCAAGTCATCACAAGTTCTTGTGAACTGACAAGAACGGAGTTAGAAATTCCTCCAGAACAATTAAGTTATGTTTACTGGGAGTCACTGGAATTAGCAAACATGAATACTAGGGGCAGAAACATAATTGCTCTGCAGGGCTGCCATACCAAACTTTGTGAGCATAGAGACAATAAGGCACTAAAAAGATGGATCTAGGAAGCTGATGCGATTAACATCGCCAACCATTTGTAAAATGGTTATGTTCACGAACTCTTGTAGACAGCCCTTTTTTAACAGGGGACATGCAGTTAAGTACCTCAAAGTACTGGCCAGAACAATGACATAGTTGAGAGCCTATGGCCCCTAAAAAGGGAGCAGTCTACCTTTTCATTAAGTAGATATATCCTGAGAGTAATATATGCACATCATGGTTTCAAAAGATTCTAGTATTACTTAAAACTATCAGTTCCCAGAACAAAACAATCTATTGGCACATTCAATAAAATATCTGGCCTAAGCAGAATATTGTTGGCTTTTCTTTCTAATTTCTTGTGGTGCTCAACACTAAGCATTCAGTCTTTGTGACGAGGCAAGTTGTTATCAGAAATCTATGAAGTTGAAGGCATTTACAGGAGTACTATTAGGTGAAATACAATTCAGAATTAAATTACATTTGCAAAACACAGTATTTCAGAACTGCCAAGCCAACGGTAGGTAGGAACCCTTTATGAGCAAACAGTAAGAAAGATTTAGCAGGAAGTACATTCTAATTTCATAGGGTATTCTAAGCAGGTGTCCATATCATGGCCCGCTCATTTCAGTTGCTTCTTTTCCTTTATTTCCTCCAAATGCGTATTATGCAGCTGCAAAAATGATGTCTTTTTCAAATAATCCTTTGGAGAGCCAATAGATTTAGAACTCTTCATCGATTCTAGCTGCAAATAGCGCAGGCATGCTGGTCTTATCTGCAGAAAACAAATTTGCTCTGCAGTTTCAACAGATACATAAACAAACTGCAGAGTTGCCGTCAGTTGCACGGTATGCTAAAACCTGAGATAACAAAGCCACTGGTGTATTCATGTTAACACGCTATGTTCAAGTAAACATTATGGCTTAGTATAATGGCCTGGTTCCCACGACACACTGAATCACAAGCAAACCCACCTTGTTTTAGTGTGCAAACCCAGCTTGTGTGCTGGTAAGAATGAGATCAAACAAAGGTAAGTTTCAGTTATACTCTTTAGAGTATATTACACAGCCATTGCCATGTATAGTGCGATAAAAAAAAAACATATTCAGTTCAGCGTGGTGTTGTGAAGCCGGAGGACTGCTGGCTGTGCAGCTCCTGGCCCAGAAAGACTTAGTCAAAGGCTACCTTAGTAACGCTTCCATCCAGCGTCTGAAAACACTGTGCTTGAGAAAGAGAGAGAGAGACTTGGAAGCAGGGTGCGTCTCAGTTATCTGGCCATCTGAGTAAGTCCGCACGACTTGCGTCAGCACCTTCCACCTCCTACCTTCCAGATTTGGTGAGCACAATAATGGCCCCACTGCAGCACTTGAAGGAGGCTTCCACGGCACCCACGGCGGCGGCTTCCGTAGGGTCTCGGTTCAGGGGGGCCAGCCGGCGGAGCTCTTCAAACAATTGCCTGTGAAAGATGGCTGCTTCTGCTTCGCGAGCAATCTACAAGAGCAACACGCGTTCGGATGACGGCGGTCACATCAGGCATCGCTCGCGGCAAGAAGTAAGGTGGGATGCTGGGCTGAGCGGAGCGCCAGTGTGGAAGCAGCCAAGGCAGAAACAAACCCAGCCAAGCATCTTGCTGGAGGGGCAGTCATCCTCGACAAGAGCAAGGTGAGCCTGGGCCCCCTTGGTCTGCATCCACTGCCTGGACTCAGCTGGTGGAAGACTGGCCACATCACCCCACTCCATTCTGCCGGTGACCTGTGCATTCATTAATGCGCAACCGCGAGTCTCTCTGAGTCTGCTTCGATCTACCTCCAGTCCTGCTTGGTTAGAGAGATGGAGACAGGCTGGTGCTTTTTACCGTGTAAGAGTGCTGTGGGAGAACCTACTGGTGTGAAGTCTGGTTTGTCAGAGCACCTCTACCAGGAGTTACGAATTCTCTACCAACCCTGCTTCATCTGGCTAACTGAGCCCTACCTGCCGGTGTCTGTCAAAACTATCACAGCTGGAGCTAAGCACTTAAAAGAGGCCTCCACCGCGCCTACAGCCATGGCTTCAGAAGGGTCCCTGCTGCTAGCAGTGTGACGGAAAAGTTCTTCAAACAGCTGACGGTGAAAGATTGCGGCCTCGGCCTCCCGAGCTATCTGTAGGCCAGAGCAAGAGGGAGGGAGGGAGGGAGGAAGAGCAACACGGAAAGAAGGAAAGAGATATACCGAGTAATATGATCACGTTAATATGCAAAGAGAGTTAATTGCTTATTTGACAGGCTTGCATGCATGGTGACAATTAGGGTGAGGCAGCCTCCAGTTTCCCAAATTAAAACCACCACCACAGCAACAATCAGCATTCACAAGTGGGATACAGTTCAGGCCAAATTGAATAGAGATTAGTTGCTCATATCTACCAAAGAAATTAACTAAATCAGAAGGTTTCAGGGCATGCATGCTCAGCTCTGATTGCAGAACGTTAGTGTGCCACTGAAATAGACGTTTTTAAAAAATTCCTGGGGTTTGGTGGCACTACTGCTGCACCACCCTAATTTTTAGCAGGAAACCAAGTCTCTCTTGGCTGTAGAAGTTCCACTTACAGACGATCTACCAGCTGCTGTTCAAGAACTTGCCAAAACCCAGATATTCTCCTTAGGTTACCCAGTGCAGCATTCAAATGATCATTTCCCCCCCAAGTTCAAATGGCATGTAAATTCCATGCTTAAAATGCTCATGTGGGCTTCCCTGAAAATAAAAGTTAAACCCAAGACAACTCATTTTCAAGCAAAGATGTGCAGAATTTGTACATCCCATTTCAGGAATTAGCCTATATGTGTTCTTCCCAGCCAAAGGTGAGACTTGGGTAGCATTTTTTAAGCATGCAGAGCGCTACCCATTCCAGCTAGACAGTTAAGGTAAGATCTGATGGAATTATTTGCAACATGATACATTAGCGAAAGCAACATACTCCAATTTTTAAAATTACACATTTTCCTGTTCCTTAGCCCCCAAGAAGCAAGATTATGTGAATTTTACAAAGATCAGTAGACGGAGAAGACGGTACAAAGCCAGAAACCCACCATTATATAGATGGTTAGTCTCAGCAGAACAGTGACGCAGAGCTGCATCTTGGAAGCTGTATTTAAATGCAACCTGAAACTCTTCTGGGAATCTGTTACAGCAGCGGACCTGTTCTCAAAGATGAGGTCATAAATGTGTGTCTGGCTCCAGACTACAAATGGAGGCTAATAGGAGGGAAGACTCCCCCACAAAGACAAAATTCCTGTCTATTTAAGACTGTTATCCTAGGAAATGTTCTGATTACAATTCAAGAACGCTTTTACAGCTCCCGGAAGCCTAAGGGTTTCAATATGCTTCAAGCCCCAAAATCAGGCTGGTCTCCCGCGCCTTTATTTCGAAATACTATAATTTGAGGGCTTGTGAGCATTTACATCCTGAGAATGAAGGCATGAGGAAGAACTGTCTGCAGACATGCAACTCTCCTAAAATATTTACAGCAAACATTATGCCAACTAGGACGCTGCTTTTAAATCGTTTAAAAGTCAGTTAAATTTAACATACACTGACAAATGTGGAGGACCTTTAGGATCTTCACGTGCATTTCTCAAATCAAAGTAGAGATGAACAGGAAGGCTAGATTTTAAATTTTATCTCTGTGTACTGTTAGAAAGTGGATCTACTCTTCTGTATGTGCATATTTCTGGGCAGTGTGAGAAATGTCTTCAACATGCCTTCTCAGAGGTCTGAATCAATCCTCACGTTCCAATGCTTTGGAAGAACTGTCCTTTTGTGCCAGTTAGGTGGATGCTGACTAATTTTATTCAGCCTGTTGGCTCTAAATGGTTTAAAAGTAGACAGGAAGACTGGTGCTGTAGAAAGCCATTGGGGGAAGAGTGCAATCAGTCCTTTTGCTCATTCAAATGAAGAGGGCTTTAGAGGATTAGTATGACAATATAATCGTGTTTTTCTGCCTCAGGAACCATTTTCTTTGGTCTGACGATGGACATGATGTTACCAAAGGAATTAAGCCCAAACCAAGATGTAGCGTTAGCATCCTTCTAGTACAGGAGAGCTCTTGAGTAAGCTAACTAACCTGAACTGCAGCTGACACTAGTAGGTTATAAGGCTGTCGTAATCCACAGCAAACAGCCAACACAATCAGTGTTTTAATTCTGATATTCGGTGCTAAGTTATCAATGGGAAACTACAGAATCCAAAGCAGATCAGAGAGTTCGCTGGCAGTTTATAAGGTCAGTCATGCACTTTGTAAATTAAATACGATCCAAGGGCACAATAGTTCAGCAGAACCACAAAGGGACCACCCAGTCCTCCCGCCACCAGGATGTTCTAGGGCCAAGACAGATGTTTGGCTCTTTGCTGAAACTGGGTTTGGGATTCAGACTCACATGGTTCCGCACTGTGGCTTTCCTTTCCCCATGCAAGAGAAGGAAGCCAAGTTACTTTTAAGCCCCACATAATGGAACAGTGGAAGTAAAGTGCAAGGCACCAGGCCAATTTTGTTCTTATTCCAAGGGGGATCCCAGGAAAGATCTTACAAGTGAACATAAGGGATCTGGACACCTCAGGCAACCTGAGGGACAGGAGAAAAGATCTCAAGCTTTGCAAATCTACTAGATCCCCAGTCCAGATGTTACACCTGCATGACCATAAGAAAGCCTTTGTCTTCTCCAAACATGGTGCTCTCCAGATAAGCTTTACTTCAACTTTTACATAGCTGGAGGGCACTAAGCTGGGCAGGTGGGCCAGGGGAAGAGCCGACCACTTGCTGTGTATAAATTACTAAGCTAGCTACTAGCCTGGAAAAGGACTTGCTGGAAGGGGCAACTGGGAGAAAGAGCCAATGTTGCTAAAGAGGCCAGCATTACTACTGAAGGGGAAACTCACAAGGTGCTGCATCTGGACAGCCTCCAGGGGATAATCTCCTTTGGCAGTTTCTCCAGACAGCATGATACAGTCAGCTCCATCAAGCACAGCATTTGCTACATCGCTCCCTTCGGCACGTGTGGGGCGGGGCTTCTTAATCATGCTCTCCAACATCTGGCAGAAAAACAGAAGTAACTTGCTTCATTGCAGGACAAATCACCTTATTTAAATTATCTTGCAATGAAAGGTGTAAGCTATCCAGCTTCAAACCAACCATAAAGTTCTGAAGAAATACAATCTCAAAGTTTATAGTCCATCTAAGAACCGTTAGCTACAACTGCAATTCTAACTAAATTTAGAGCAAATCGCCTTATTATAACAGCGGGATTTATTCCAAGCAGTTTTATATTGTTAAACCTGTTAGCATATATGTCCCAGATGCAATCACTACTTTACTATGACCCCTCTCTGAAGTTGAGTTGCAGCTCCTGGTAACATCATGGATACCTTGGGACAAGGTTAGATTTTTTAAATTCCTGAATTAGGCTCCAGCTTTGGGGTGTCCTGGTGGTCTGCCATCCAAGCAGTATTTCTCTGCCAGTCCAATATTTTATTTATTTATTTAATGAATTTATATGGCTGCCCAACTTACAGTGACTTGGGGCGGCTTACAAAAATCAAAGCCCCAAAAACCCACGACACCTCCCAACAGTTTACTATTAAGCAGAATAGGAATCCAGTGCCCTCAGGTTTTTTCAACATTTTGCTGTAAATAGGTGGACTTTCTCCCCAAAGACTTTTCAACTCACTCATTTAGGACAGACTGTAAAATCTAAGGATACTCTGAATGAGCCTCAGTATCAACAATTCCAATTCCTAGCCAAGTTCTAATCTTTAGTTCTACGCTAGCCTGTAGGATACTTCAAGCAAGAACAATTTCAGTCAAGCTTTCATAGTAACTTTTTTGGCATTTCAGGCATCCCACTAAAAACTGACCATTTTAATTTCTCTTAGCGATACTGGCACAAGATGCCAGAATAAGAATTGCTGATCAGGACAATGTTCTCACGCTGCGCAGCTTTGACTTTGCCCAGAGTCAACTCTTCAAATACCTGAGTAGCACAGATAATAGGCTTGCCAGCTCTGTTGCAACGGCCAATCATCATTTTCTGGGCAAGGAAGACTTTTTCAGCTGGAATCTCAATACCAAGGTCACCCCGGGCTACCATGATGCCATCACTAGCTTCCAGGATTTCATCAAATCTGAAAAGCAAAGAGGGAAGGATTATATGCTATGGGAAAGTAAGGTTGGACAGGAGACAGTAATGCTGGGGGAGAAGCCAAGGACACCCACGTGGGGGGAAAAAAGGCAGAGCTGCCAGTCCTGTTAACAAGGCTGCTTTAACTATATTCATCCGTTAGTATCTAAACAGAAAAAAAAAAGTCTGCTGAGCATTTCATTTCCACCCTTCAGCAGGGAAGTTGTGACATTTTAAAGGAAGGGCAGCAGAGTGACAAGCAATTTTAGAAGTCCCATCTTCATGCAGTTCGGTTTTTAGAATAAATATCCTATCATGAAACAAAAGCCAGAAGGAAAGACAGTGAGGCCTGAATGAATGAGCCTCAGGTATACCGGCCAGCTCACCTGCGCACTCCCTCATGGTTTTCAATCTTGCTGATGATCTTGATATTCTTTCCCTTTTCCCCCAGCACCTTCCTGACAGCATGAACATCCGATGCTTTACGGATGAAGGAAGCAAAAACCATGTCCACATCCTGCTCAACACCAAACTTGAGATCCTGGATGTCCTTCTCAGAAACAGCAGGAAGATCTACTGCAGCACCAGGTAAGTTCACACCTTTTTTGCTACCTAACATCCCACCGTTCTCAACTTCAGTCATGACGTAGTTTGCGCCTAAACAGGATTTGAAAAATCAACAGGGTGACTTTAACCCAGAAATCTTTTGTCAAATTTGCTATTACATATATTACAGTATAGATAACCAGTTTTAAATAAGCCTTTGAGTTAAGAGGATCATCAAGTAATGTTACATCATTACAAGTGATTTAAGTGGTGATACTGTAATTTTTTAAAAGTTTGTAGGATCCACACAAAACAGGCAGAACTTTGCAAAAGGTGGGTTGAATTATATATTTCTATTTAAGGTGTTGGGTACATTATCTGGAATGCCTTCCAAACTTACCTTTCTCCTTAACTTTAAGAGAAATAAGGCCATCGTCCACATAGATTTTACTGCCAATCTCCACAACCTTGATGAGATTCTTGTAGTCTACCCACAATACTGCCTCATCACACTTCTCCATAAAAGCATCGTCGAGGGTCACTTTCAGAGCTGCACCCTTTTTAAGCTCTACTTCTGCTGTACCACTCTAGAAGCATAAATCAAGTTATTAACAGTATTACCTGAAGAGATTCTCTTGCCCCACGTCAAAGACTACCCAGATGGCTGCCACTTTTCCAAAAGCAACATCTCCAGAAGGTGTGGAAAGCCAACACTGATACTCTCTCCCCTTTCTGCATGGCTCCTTGCTTTAGAGAAGCTTGGAAACTCTACTATATAACTGCTCAGTGATCCACTGTTATCACTGAAGATATGCAGAAATGCTCTTTTGAACAATGATTCTCAATCCAGGAACAAGAACAATCTGAAAACGGAACCTCAAGAAGTTCTGGCAGAACAAGATCCTGAGCCATTCCTTCCACCACCACTTTGATGGACTGGATACCTTCTGGTAGATAACTCATGTATCCAGTTATGAGGATATGTACATCTCAAGCCGATTTAGAAAAAAATAACTTCACATACAACAATACTTGTATGATGGCTTCAGAGAAGTCATGTTCTGCTACACTTTGAAAGCAATGCAGCAGGAAGCTGTTGTATATAATTACAAATAAGCACCTCAACACCTTCCCCCCAGAAAGCCTCTTACTGCCGTTGGATGGAAGGGCATACAACTATGGAAGGGAGATGAGAATACAACAGGACCTGAAGGAGCTATAAATAGCAATAATCCAAACTGCAATAATGAGCATCACAACAAAGACAGAAACACACTTACCCCCTTGATGAGCCCAGTTCGAATCTCAGGTCCCTTAGTATCCAGTGCAACAGCGACAGGTCTGTAGGAAATAGGATCAGAAGCAAAGCTCTCAGTAGCTTCTCGTACATTCTTGATTGTTCCTGCATGATACTAAAAGAGAAGAACATACAAACATTACATAATGACAAGAGTAACCCTGCTTGGTTAGTGTGATCTTGCTGCCTTAAGTTGCTAAGAAGCATCTACTAAACCCACATCTCGGTTCATTGCCTTATTGCCAGACTGTTGTGTCCAGGAAGGCTGCCAAACAACAAATCATTGAGTTCCTATTAACACTTTGCTAAGTAGCAATTTTAATTCAGCCAAACAACTATGTTTTAAGCCCGAGGAAGAACACAAGACACACCTTTTAACTTAATCTGGAAGCCATGAAACCCAGTTTTTAGACATGAATACCTTCTACCAAAATTAAGCATGCCATTTGGTACCAAAGCTTTGAATCTTAACCGGTACCATAATTTAGCTTCAGACACTACAGAGAAATCCTTCATGTTTAGTCAGAGCAATTCTAGCCTTGGTATCAAAGGCTACTTCATAGATTATCCGTGCAAGAAGTGCTTGCTTTTCTTAATCAAGTAGCAAGAGATGACTAGGATAGTTTGCAGTGAAGATTTCATAAAATTTAACCCATACCACAAAGCGATAAGCAACAGGATTGAGGTTTTTTTTGGGGGGGGGGGATTGGTTTGTCTATCTCTGAACTTACTGACCAAACCTTAGGTGTAACTCTGGGTTAGAGATCATGCTAAGATGCCACAAGAGAAGTTTCCATGAACAGAAACACTAAGCTAGAGAACTATTCATTTGACTACTGGGGCACCAATACTCTGTTCAAGTCAGTAAAGGAAGACTTAAAGCAATTACTTAATCACTGATTGCGCCAACCACAGATAAAACATGAAAATTTTGAGAGTTGGTTTAATTTTCACAACTGGCTTATCTGCCAGTGGTGCATTTTCATGATATTTTGGTTAAAAATTCATGGGTCAGCTTATCCATGAATGGGCTTATCTGCAAGTATATACGAGTACTTTAAAAAAGTTATTACCATATATATTTGCAGATAAGCCCATGTGTAGATAAGCCAAATCCAATTTTGGGGGTATATTCTGGCACCTAACATTCTCAGCTTGTCCGCAAGTACATACGGCATTTGAGAGCCTATTAAGTTAGGATCAGGTTTAAGAGGGTGGAAGGTTTTTACTTGCACTTGAAGATGGCTCCTTTTAAAAAGAAAAGCCAATAAAAAAGGCACAGTATTTTGAGTGCTAAACTGAAACTCTACTAGGAAGATGGTTCAGTCTGTAGCTTGACCTTTTAGAAGCTAACAGCAGCCAGCCTGGTGGCCTTTAAGGAAAGATGTAGATGAGAAAAAAAGTGTCTCCTAACCCAGTTGTAATGCTGAGAAGGCTACTTTATTTATAGAAGAGGGACTGTCCTCTCCTGCGAAGTACCACAATTCTTGTGACCTTAATCAAAGTGCCCCGCTTTTCAAAGGCCACAGATTTGATCCCCATGGCAGGGTTCCCAAACCTTATTTTGGAACATATACACTACCTTATCAGACTGGAAAGCTTTTCATTTCAGAAATTACTTGGATCCTTTAAAATTTCATGACCTCGTCCTGGGGAGCAGAGTTAACATATCCTGCCTGGCACTTAGCAAAACCTCCTTAAGCTTTCAAACATCACGCAGACATAAAAATTTGGTTTAACCACCTGAAATCTGCAGTGATACTTATAGTTAACCAAATCAGTGTTTCAAGATCTTGGTTAGAAGCCAGGCATGCACCAACAGGATCTAGTAACAGGGAATGATGGCTGAACTTTCAGTACTGAAACAGTCCATGCTTGAAGGAGGGTGGATTTGTTTGACCTTCTGACATTTGTTCTATGAGTCCAGAAGTTGTACACAGCCTGTAAGCAAGTACTGTCTATTTCAAGATAGTCAGGACTTTATTATGTGATGTTTCTTCAGGCCTGCTCATTTCACATTCCATTTACGCAATTCTATTTGTTTAACCAAGGCATTTGAGCTTTGCTGCCATTTGAAACTAGAAGTAATTCAATCTATGAAAGTTTAACATTTAAGTTAACTAAGTAGGAGGTAGCAGGAGCCCTTAGCCTTAAGAAATAATTCAATCTCATTTTACCAGAAAAGGGAAAGAACAGTGCTTTAAGTCATGCGTACGTGGCAAGGAACGTTAGCATCTACATTTATTAGAATTATTTTATAAAGGTGGACATTGTTTCATCAAGCAGGACACCTGAAACTTTAAGCCTAAGTCTGAAGGTCAAGATTAGTCTGCAATACAATCAATGTTACTGAATAAGAATCGCCTATTTGTTACTGAGCTATATGCCATTTCACTTGTATGTCAGAAAGCGGCTTTCCATTTCCATCAATTACTGCAACATTATTGTCCCAATTTATTTGTACCTCGTGAGTTCCGTGAGAGAAGTTGAGACGGGCAACGTTCATTCCAGATTTAATCATTTCTTTCAGCATTTCTACTGACCGAGAAGCCGGACCTAAGATACAGAGACAAAACTTTATGAGCAGGTGCCCATTTTTAAAATCCCTACAATACTGCTCCTTATCAAGCTAGACCTTACACTTCCTCCACAGGTTTGTAACTCACTTTTCTTTACTTGTGTCAGATTTATTAAAAAAAAATACATGAAGAAATAGAAGAGGGATGTCAATTGTTCATTTTACAGATATTCCAGGAAAGAGATTCTAATAGGGAGCCACTTAGATAAACAGACCTTCATTATATGAATTGAGCCAACACACAAGAATTTCCCCAGCCAACCTTAATCTTGGGACTCATCCCTACTTACCAATGGTGCAGATAATACCAGTGTTTCTTGCAGTGATTGGGGGAGAATCAATGTCCAGTCGGCACATGTGTTCCAAGAATGTGTCTGCCATGGCAGCATACAGCTGCTGGGTCTGGATGAAAGCATCATTAGCAGACATGGTTGCTGAGAGTTGGTATCTAAAGCAAGAATACAAAGTTACAGTATTAAGTAACATTCAAGAGCAGATGCTAGGTACACAAAATATTCCATTTCTAAACATTCCATGCACAAAATTCTCAGAAATACTCCATTTCAAGGGTGAGAGACCGGACACTTTCAGCATTTTGGAGGCGTTTTCAACCTGAAACAGTAGTCTAAGCTCTGAATATCTGTTTTGGACTCTCAGCACTCCATTTTGCCATTGTAACAGCAGTTCTGCATTCAAGGATAAAACATTTTATGAAATTTCAAGAAGTAACAAGGTGCCTCCCCAACTCATCGTACACTTGTTTCCTATTATTTATCTTCTTCCGCTCTTGCTCAGGAAGGAGGCGGAGCACTATTTAACATAACTGAACTGGGGGAACCATAAATGAGCTACTCCTCTGAATTATAATTCCATGTTACTTCCCACGCACCACATTGCACCAGTCCACATCCATGATCCAAGACCAGATGGGACTAGAGATTATGCAAGCATGGATCCAGCTTCAGAGGCCTTTCTGTCTGAATGCAGGGCAGTTGAGGCAGTCAGCTCCAGAAAGATGATTCATAACTTGCAGGGAACTCAGGCATACAAAAGTAGCTTGTTTATGGCAAAAATACAAACTGAACCACTTCCAAGGGAGCACTGCAGCAGGTTTATTGCAGGCAGCACTTAAGTGCGCATAAATAATCTTCATAGGGCTATGCAAATAATATTATGCCAAGAATTCTTAAAATTCCCATTGGTGTGACCAACAGTAGCTACAAATTCTAAAGAATAGCAAGTTGGGGAAGTTAAAGAGTAAGTACATGAGTACATGCTGCTAAATTTTGGGAAAATTTTATGCTAGGAAAAATTAGAAGAGTCAAGCTATATATTTAAACTTGCCATATCAAGTTGTACAAAATAAAGGCAGGATATAAATCTAATAATAAAACATGTATTGCTTTCAAAGCATTTGGGAAATTCACTTAACTTTATGAATTGATCTGATTCAGGTTTAAGACTAACTCTATGCACCTCAATGGCAAAGCAGGCTCAAGCATAAAACTGCATTTTGGTACACAGCCAGAGATATCACCATTCAGCCCTGGAATTAACAAATGGAGAAAAGCAATTCCCTAGATTTATGGAATGTTTTACTTCTAGGCTGGAAGTTCCTATTATTTTACAGCAAACTGCAAATTTGTATACATCTGGACATATGCATGCACACATTATATATAGCAGTCTAATTATTTACTTCAGAAGACCACCCAACTTTTAAATAGGACATGCTTAAGCATTACATTACACTCTTCCTAGTGTAATGAATGAACCACCAAATTTCAATTTGGGGGAGTTTAGCATGTAAAAGAACAGCCACCACTTAATAATGATTTCTCGGTTTTATCAGAGCTCCACAAGCTGCAATGAAGGCTGCTCTTGCTTCTGAATCTGGGGGAATGTTCTGCACCTCTGTTATTCCAGGGGCTTTGGACTGACTCTGCCTGCCACTCTTCAGCCCGAGAAGAGAAGCTCCACCCTGTGGTACGTGCAGCTTCCCTCCCTCGCAAGCATGGCTTTCAAGCAGGGAGAGCCCCAAGCACATTCCCAGTCTCCCCAGTGGCCTGAGTCAAAACTAGCTTTTTAACATCACTGAAGAGGCTACTTGCTTTCAGTTGAGTACCAGACAATAGAGACTTCTCTTGCACGTGGGCATCCTCTCTGCATACAATGCAGGAAAACCCCATGCAGCTGAATTCCTAGCTAAGCAGCTTTCTGCAAGGCATAAAATATTTTCTGCTTGCTTCGACTATTTACAGAAAGTAATTGATGTTAGCTGTTCACAATATCTATCACTAAGCTCAAACAGTTCATGTTTGGGGGAAACAAAAGGCACATGCCTGCATTTACAATTAAGGCTTTGTAGTCAAGAGAGCTCTTAAAGAAGCAGGGTTTACTTACTAAGGCCTCATTATGCTCACTTTGATATACAGCAGTTCTAACAGAAAGGCTTATACAAATGCACTGAAGCCCTCTAGTAGGAAAGACGCAGGTTCATTTTTATTGCAATTTGGGGATGCCTGCAATTCTTAAAATTGTAACTTTTGTCAGTTTAGCAAATCTGAGGAGCAAGCCGGTACAGATTCATCATTTTTCTTTCCTGCAATCTGCAACATAAGGGTGCCTCTCACAGAAGGTTTTCAACACTGCCCAACTGATTTTGGGAATATGAATATGTAAGAGATACCTACAGTTACTACCACAAATAACAGTCCTGAGGCCACAATACAAATCTTAATCTGAGAGACACATTTTGTCTGCAGGCCAAAATATGCAATCTATTAAAGTAGCAATCATGTGATAATCTTCAGAATCATACATTATGAGTTATTACTGAAATACTAGATTAGATAAGGAACAATATTATTCCAGATTAAATGCTGTAATGCTATAAAACATGTCTGTAAACATTCCAATTCCATATGACCTTCCACACAAGGAAAGTGGGTGGTTCCAAATTTAGAAATGCATGGGTTTTTCTTAAGCAACGTGCCCACCACCCCTGAGATTTGAAGTAATTAATCCTTATCTATTTGTAGCACTTTTTCTTTTGTTAATTAAAACCACTACTCGGAAAGTCAAATGAAAACAGGTGACATCAAACTGAACGTAACAAGCTCTTGCTAATTTTAGGGACCCGTTGGCTACATCATGTATCTGAAGCTTTACTGCGCAAAGCAACTACTGTATACCGGCAGCCAGTTGTTACAACATCTTATTTCCATCCTATGCACCAGTTTTCACAGCAATATGGTAGAAACCAAAAGCATCACAGAAAACTCAGGTTTTGAACACATCTGAAGCAGACAGCTGTTGTTCTTTTGAGTATATTTATCATTTGTCTCCCCAGTCATCAAAGTTCTGTGTATGAGCTTAGTGTGGAGTTGGTTCACCACCATTGCACTAAACCATACTAAACCCAGTATTCTGTTAAAAAACCATAGTTTATAGCTTAGCATGAAACATCAGTCTTCATCTGAACTTGCATTGCTTCAATTGGCACTCCCAGGACGCTTGATAAATCTGTACTCAGTATGAGATCAGGGCACCAGATTGGGGGTGGGGGTTAAGCATGCCTGCCAGAAGTTGGTCGAGAAAGCTTTCCTCAAATATGGGTGATCTCACATTTGCCAAAAATTAATCTATGATATTAACGCAGCTCAAGGTGTGTCTGGGAAGTTTATGCAGCACTGTAACTGGCTAACAGCAATTCTCATGCTATTTTATGTGACAGGTAAAACACAACACCAAAGATCTATTTCTTCAAATTATTTTGATCAACCATTCTGCAGAGTCATTTCCTTCTTTTGAGTAAGGAGCATTGCATCACATCTCTACCGTTGGCCTGCATCAATGCTCACCCCGACTTCTCCCTCTGAGTCTTTAGGAACATTTGGAGGACTTGGAGATGGGAAAAAAAATCTGATTTTTCATGAAAATGTGGGCATCTGTAGCTTCTCAGTAGCGCTCTCCCTTACAAAGAAGGCACACCAAGTTCTTTGCATGGGTAGGAAAATCTGACTGGCGTGATGAGGCATCCCCCCATCGCCATCCTGTTCTCTGTCCCAGATTCTTGGCACGTGGCCACTGAAAGGCCAAATGCTGCTACTACCATCACTCTGTGAGATCCCTGGATGCTCCTTATCTGAGTATACAGATGCAAATATTAGTGAAAGCTCCCTTTGTTCATTAAACATTTGTCCTGCACAGGGCTGCATGCTGCAGTAACCAAGGTCATCCCAGGAAATGCCACATCATGGTCAAATGGCGCTGTCTGAAGGAGCGCTCTCACCTTCATGAAGCTAAGAAGGATGTAGGGAAAGCGCCTCCCCCCTTGAGCAGATGAGAACAAGGATGCTAACTGTAGGCCTGTTTCATGAGTAAGCCTTTTGTAACACTTGCGGGGGACTGGAGTGCATGGAAACCCGCAGGGAGAGATATATAAAGACTCTGGCTGCCTTGATTTGTGATCTGGTACTGTCTCCTCAAATCCTTTCCAGGGAGAAAAGGCAGCCCGGAGGGGGCAGAGTGCAACCAGATCTCTCCTGCCCCATCTCTGCCCTCCCCCCGCCCCCGGCAGAGAACCAAGAGCTCCTGGAATGGCAGACATGCTGACGCAAGGCTTCTCGGTTCGCTCAGATTTCTGGCCCTGCACACCGCTTTTAAGAGATGCGCGGAATGGGCTCCTACACCCTCCCCAGGGTAAAAGTTTTGCGTTTGGGGGAACAAAGCTAACGTGGAGACTGGGGGCGGGGGAAAGGGAAGGGAGCATCCTCCGGCCACGCGCTCTCCGCGTGCAGCCCATTCCCCAGTCCCTGTATCTGCGCTAGCCTTCCCCAGCCTGCGCTCGGCGGGGAGGGGCCAGAATACTCTCCAGCATCCTCGGCCGGTGCTGGGAAAAGCCCATGGGAGCTGTAGTCCAGGGGGCTGAGAACCCGCGAGGCTGAATTCGGTGCCGCCGGGAGCGGAGAAAAGGCAAGGCCGAGCGCGCCTCCAAAGCCGCGCCCGCGCGTTGGAACCGCCCTCGTTTCCGGGGATGGGGAGGCGGTTGCCCCGGACAAAGGACCGCGTGCCAAGCCGTTCCTTCGCCCTCAGCGCCCGGCCCGCCCACGCCCAGGACACGCAGCTCCGTCAAGAGACGGAAAAAGTCCAGCCTCGCCGCTTTCCGCCCTCCCATTTGCAAAGGGGGAGGAAAAAAAACCTAGTTGAAGATGCGGTACTATGTGAATCAACATTTGGGTTGCAGAATTAGACTCCTTTCTTGCACGGGCTTAAAACACGGAAAAACTGCCAGTTTGCATGTGTCGCAAACGAAAAATAGGAGGAGGGAGCGCTGGGAACGCCGCCTTGAGCTCCTGTTACAACGGATCGGACACAAATGTGACAAATAAAATGCAGCAGCCCGCCCCTCAGTCACGGGACTCTAAGGCCCTTCTTCCTCCCCCAGCACGTGGAGTTGCAATTTCTTCTGTGCAGGGGCAGCCCTAGGGAAAAAGCCGCGCTTCCGGGAGGGGATGATGGGAGCGGTAGTCAGTGGGACCCAGCGCTCAGGGAGGCGAAAGACTGCAGCAGCAAAGGGTTAGGTATGATCCGCGGCGAGTCGTCCCCGCCCGCCCTCCTTCCTCACCTACCCGGCTTCCAAAGGTCAATTCCCGCGGAGAGTCTCCACCTCTCTGAGCAGCGCCCAGCCCAGCGCAGCCTCAAGGTGATTCAAGGCCGCCTCACGTCCTCGCCCCCGCGAACCCCTCCGCCACGTCGCTCCGCCCCTTCCAATCTGGATTGCGTGCCCTGCGGGCGGGGCATGAGGACTACTTTTTTCCTCCTTGAGTGGAGTGATAAGAGACTCGTGCGAAGAGCCCTTCCGCAACGGTCGAGCACGTATACGGCCTTTGAGGGAGGGCCTCCCATCGCCCCTGAGCGGCACCCCCTCCTCTGTTTCTCTACATGGGGCCATCTGCATTCGCCGGAGTTTCTCCTAGTGTCCCGGATAGCCGCTCCCATCATCTTCAGCCAGCCGAGGAGACGAAATGGGAACTGTAGTCCGGGGTCAGGACTGAAAGAGGAGCCTTGCTGGGCGCTGGCGAAGAGCCCTCCGAGGTGGCATCCTGCTCTCTGCGGCGACCCTGGATGCTTCGGGAAGACTGAAAGCAGGACCGACGCAGGGCGGACCCAGAATCAAGACCACCTCGCCGGGGCAGCGCAGTGGGGGACCCCGGGCCTGCTGTGGAAAAAACCACGGACGGTCCAAGGGCCGAGTTAAGTAATGAGCCTGAAGGGCCGAGCCCAAGCCACGCCAACCAGCGGCCTGGCAAAAGAGATCCTTTGCTAAGCACGGGCGCTCTGGATTCCTCTGCACTTCCAGCTTAAGAAGCCAGCAAATGCGGGACGTGCTGAGCCTGTGTAGGGAGCACCTGTCAGCCACGTGCAAACCTGCATTAATCCGGGCCGTTTTCTGCTGATCGAGTGGATTAAGCAGAGGGATGACCCGCAGCAGGGCTGCCCTGAACCAGCCCGCCCTAACAGGGCCTTCGGCTTTGAACAGCGGTTTTGATGATGCCGGCATCAATCTCAAATATTACACAGAACTAAGCCCCATTCTTTAAGAAACGGAACTTGCATAACATAGTAGCCTGAAGCTACCAGCTATTTTTGAGAGGGGGAAGGCCACCTTTTCCCCAGTTCTGTTTCTTCATCCCAGGAGCTCCAGGGCTCCCTCTTAGCTACAGCCTGAAACTGCCTCAGCCGCACGAAGCCTGATCTAAATGACTGCAGCCTCCTCCCACATCAAGCACAGAATTAAGTGCCAAGTCTGGGGAGTGGCTGTGAGACACTTCTGCACCTTCCCCACCTGCCTCCACCTTTCTGGCCTCTGTTGGGTTGCTGGATGGAGAATTTTAGCCAAGTCAGGAGCTTGGACTCTCTGATTTTGGATTGGTCTAATACAAATTACCCTAAAATAAATAGTTACTTTAAAAAATCCATATGTTTGTTAAAATATTGAAATACAAAGTACAGTAGGAAAAAAGCAAGACAATACAAAAAAAGACTGCTACATTTGCCTTTTAATATAATAAAAAAGTAAATTTTTAGTGATACATTCTTCCCTTCATATCCCCAACCATGAGCCACAGTTTAGATACTTGAACTTTGCATCAAGCATTAGTAATTGTTAGTTTCTATTTGCATTCTGAAAACCATATTCCATATGTCTAAGTCTTCTTTGCTATGTGATACAAGAGAGCCATTCCTGCTTAAATTTAAACTATGGTTGATATACATTTTGTTACTGTAATTTATCTGGCAGACTTAAGCAGATTTTGCTCCATCAGGATTAGAAAGAGGAATAATCATTTTTTTCTGTTTCTCACTTTTCCTTACCACTCCCACCTGCCCAATATGAAAAACAGTTTCAAATAAATTTGAAAGCCTTCTGCACCATGATTCAGACACAGAGCTACAGCTTGTTTGCTCTGGGATGTGTGTGTTGTATGAACCCAACTCTTGTGGTTTCTGAGCAATGGTTGATGACTTAGCTTGTTGTACAAATCCTGCCAGCTGTAGCTTGTTAAATCACTGATGTTTAAACAGTTCATGTGATAACATGCTATGTGCCTTCAAATACCCCTCCTTCCCTCCCCAACTTTGTCCATATCAGAAGCTATTCCAGCAAGCTATGATGTGACTCTCAAGCTGTAAGAGTTGGTATTTGAAAGTGTGTATTTTCTTTCCCTATCCTTTTTTTCCATTACTGTGCCAACTGCAATCTATCCTGGGAGGGAGAGATCTATCTCTTTGCAGGCCTTTAGACTGTTAAACGTTAACAAATAATAACAAAGCAAAAGTAAAAAAACAAAACAAATGGAAACTAAAAAGTTACTCTAGCCTCAAGGTATCATGTGCTCAGTCCTGGGTTTTGCCAAATACCAGACTCCAGCTGCAGTGCAAGTTTTAGATTGCAGTAATGAATGGCAGCAAGCAGTTGTTAAATCCTTGGGGCAGTGAAATGTCAAAACCAGAATAGCAATTCATTGGAAAGGGACAAGACAGGGCGATAACTGAGCAGCGGAACAACAGCTGAATATATTCTGAGTAAGAAGCTGCAAATGGTATCTTTCCCTAATGCGAGACTTAAAGGTGAGCATGAAAGGCTGGACCTACAATTCTCAAAGTCCCCACCAGAATGAAGGTGCCAAACTGGAGAAGGCTGATGAATACGAGGCAGCCTGTGACCTTCTATGTTATTCACTGCAATTTGCATTATTTCTCCATATTCAGCCATGGTGGTTGGAGTTGATGGGAATTAGAATTCAGTAACATGGTGTGTCCCCTTCATGGATCACTGCCTTGTCGTGGCGAAGGGGCTTGCGTAACTCAGTGAA